CCCAAGATCGTCAGATTTATCACCTTTGGATTTCTTTATGTGGGGTCATTTAAAAAGCAAAATCTATGCTACTCAACGTTTTGACCAATATCTTTATTCTATCATGAAGAGTCATCAACATTTACCTGCCTAACGGGTCAGTTAATTCTTCATTTTTAAATTACGAGTACTTAGCTGCCAAATGTATTGATCTCCACTAATGATGATGTATTAGTTTTATTTAAGCTTTAAATCAATAAATCTTCAAATCTACTGAATTGAAGTACATTAATTTTATATCATTATAAAGGGACTTGAAAGGCCTTTAAAATAAGGTATCACTCGACACCCCTTTCCATTTAAGATTTTGGGGATAGTGTCACCCCCGCTTAGGGGGCTGCACGTGCTAACGTGATTTTTTGCCAAACTTGTGTCCCCCTCGAAAACAAAATCGACAGGTCTGAGCGTTTTTCAAAAAAAAAACTGAGCTGCCAGTGAATGCGTCTGTTTCGTTTTCGATGCGCCACCCTGTATATTTCTCTAAACGATCTTCATCTATCTAATGAAAACATGTTTGGTTTTGTTTTTTTTAATTTGTTTTTAGTGAGTATGCGTATGCAGCATTACATTGTTTTGAAATGGTTTTATTCATGACTCATGTACTTTTTTAGCATTCTCCTAGTATATATTGACTTGTGTAATAACTTTCTTTGTATTAACATCAATAAAGTATTATTATTATAGCAAACAGGTATTTACTAAATTTTAAGTTGCGTAAGAACTATATTAAGCACTGATCAATTAACAATTACGCTAAAAACGTTATTTAAGTTATTCGAAACGATTATATACGTTTCATCTTTGGTTTACGTAAATTTGATGTTTCAGCGAAATATCCCGTTCTGAATTAGTTAAAAATTAATGACTTGGTCCAGTATCACTATTGAGTGTTTGTTCACCAAATTACTATTCACGTCCAAACCCTTTTACTTGAGCAAAAAAAATTCATTTAATAATGATGTTCACTCTAGAACTCTCAGACAAAATAATATTACAATACCCCAGCATACGTCTACACTTTTTGAATGCAGTTTTTCCTGCAATGTTGCTATTATTTATAATGACATTTCTAAAGTGTATATAAACAATTTTCGTTACCTGTGTTTCGATAAAAAGTTAAGATATTATACTTAACAAACATATAATTTATACAGGGTGTCCCAGAAGTCGACGTCAAGCCGAAACCGGGCGATAGGCAAAGTCATAACAGCTATCAGAAAAATATTTAAAAAAAATGTATGTATGTGTTTTGAAAATTATAGGTCTTTGAAAAAAATATAGAAATTTCACACCCTACGGCAGTCTGTCAACTCCTGTTACTACAAATATTAAATTTTTTTGGATTTTATTTTTACAATGTAATGATGAATAATGCATCTTCAAACTGGTGTCTCAACCTTACTGCCAACTTTTCTCGTTCACGAAAAATTGACACTTATTTCCCAACCAAGTATTCCAAAGTAAAACTTTGCTCAACTTTAACTGGCTGTACTGGAAAAAATGTACTACGAGAGTTTGGCAAGTAACCTTAAAAGTTGGCGCATTTAATAACGATTCCAAAATGGTATAACACTTAGAAGATTACTCGTTAACTTATGCACAATTTTTATTTGAAGAAAAACTGATGAAAATTTTTTAAAATTTCCTAATTAAACAACGATTATGAAAACGCAGAAGGACCCTTAAGGATAACTGTTTGCACAACAGTGGGCGTCAAAATGCTGCTGATGATGATTTACCTTTATAGCAAATGCTCAAACTGTTTTCCTTCAGCCGCAATACACGCTCGACATCTTCTTAAAAAAGATCGGGTAATTAAACGAGCGAATCCACGGTTATTAATAAACTCAGCTGATTCCAATAGTATTTGCCGTAGCTCAGCTACATTTTGAATCGGCTTGAAATACACTTTTTCTTTTACAGTTCCCCAGTAAAAAAACCTAACGGATTCAAATCTGGTGACCGGGCTGGCCACGGTATTGTACCAGACCGCCCTATCCATCTGCCTGGAAAGTTTTGATCGAGACACTCTCTCACTGAGAGTGCATAGTGCGCTGGGCAGCCATCATGCTGAAACCACATGTCCCTGTAAATACTCAGTGGCACGTCCTCCAATAAATTTTCTAAATGATTTTGCAAAAAACCTAAATAAACCTCAGCAGTCAAAGTCTCTGGGAACTCAAACGAACCGATTATTTTACCATTTAAAATTCCTGTCCAATGGTTTATCTTGAAACGATATTGAGATTTATCTTCTCTCATCAAGTGTGTGCCACTCGTGTAAGTTATGCAGGTTCTTGAACCCATCTTTCTTAAATGTGGTCTCATCTGACCATAAAATTTTTTCAAAGAACCGTGGATCTTCCCTGTGTCTCTCTAACATTGTGCGACAAAAAGCAACTCGGGGCTCATAATCCCGGGGCAGAAGAGCTTGAACACGCTGTACGTGGTATGGATGGAGCACGTTTTTTTGCAAGATTCTATGGGCTGTACTTTTGGGCACACCTGTTTTTAGTTCTATTGCACGCACTGAAGTACTCGGGTCTTCTTCGACAGCTCCTAGCACCACGTATTCGTAAGGAAGGAAAGATCTTCCCTCACCGTGTGATTGGTTTGGTAGTTGGCCCTCTGAGAACAGTAAGCGGTGCACATTTGTGAACACTCGATGATCTGGATGACGAGCTGCATTCGGGTACCTCTCACAGTAAAGTCTCGCTGCAGCACTAGCGTTGCATCTGCATTCCCCATAAATGAGGTGCATGTTAGCATATTCTTGTACGGACGGTGTACACGGACATAGCGGCACTGCACAATCACACTATCAAAGATCTAAGGAAAGCAAATGTTGTTTTGAAGAGCAATTAAACAGTCCAAATCCAAATCACAAGCGATCAACAGTCCAGTTCACGAATCCAAAATTAGTAACAGTACGAAATCAACAAGCACGAACATGTAAAGATGCGCAGTAAACGAAGGAGTACTGATCGGTATCAAAGTGTGCAATAGCAAGTAAGTGATGTGCTTCATCCATACCACATACAGCGTGTTCAACCTCTCCTGCCCCGGGATTATGAGCCCCGAGTTGCTTTTTGTCGCACAATGTTAGAAAGACACAGGAAAGATCCACAGTTCTTTGAAAAAAATTTATGGTCGGATGAGACCACATTTAAGAAAGATGGGTACATGAACCTGCATAACTTACACGAGTGGCACGTAGCAAACCCACATTTGATGAGAGAAGATAAATCTCAATATCGCCTCAAGATAAACCATTGGACAGGAATTTTAAATGGTAAAATAATCGGTCCGTTTGATTTCCCAGAGACTTTGACTGGTTGAAGTTTGAAATTTATTGGTGGACGTGCCACTGAGTATTTACAGGGACATGTGGTTTTAGCATGATGGCTGCCCAGCGCACTATGCACTCTCAGTGAGAGAGTATCTCGATCAAAACTTTCCAGGCAGATGGATAAGGCGGTCTGGTACAATACCGTGGCCAGCCCGATCACCTGATTTGAATCCGTTAGATTTGTTTACTGGGGAACTGTAAAAGAAAAAGTGTATTTCAAGCCGATTCAAAATGCAGCTGAGCTACGGCAAAGACTATTGGAAGCAGCTGAGTTTGTTAATAACCGTGGATTCGCTCGTTTAATAACCGGATCTTTTTTATGAAGATGTTGAGCGTGTATTGCGGCTGAAGGAAAACAGTTTGAGCATTTGCTGTAAAGGAAAAACATCATCAGCAGCATTTTGACGCCCACTGTTGTGCAAACAGTTATCCTTAAGGGTCCTTGTGCGTTTTCATAATCGCTGTTTAATTAGGAAATTTTGAAAAATTTTCATCAGTTTTTTTTCAAATAAAAATTTTGCATAAGTTAACGAGTAATCTTTTAAGTGTTATACCATTTTGGAATCGTTATTAAATGCGTCAACTTTCAAGGTTACTTGCCAAACTCTAGTAGTACATTTTTTTTTCAGTACAGCCAGTTAAAGTTGAGCAAAGTTTTACTTTGGAATACTTGGTTGGGAAATAAGTGGCAACTTGTCCTGAACGAGAAAAGTTGGCAGTAAGGTTGAGACACCAGTTTGAAGATGCATTATTCATCATTACATTGTAAAAATAAAATCCAAAAATAGTTAATATTTGTAGTAACAGGAGTTGTCAGACTGCCGTAGGGTGTGAAATTTCTATATCTTTTTCAAAGACCTATAATTTTCAAAACACATGCATACAATTTTTTTAAATATTTTTCTGATAGCTGTTATGACTTTGCCTATCACCCGGTTTCGGCTTGACGTCGACTTCTGGGACAATCAATAATATAATCAAGCATTTCTTTTTTCATCCCTTGTTTTATCCAGATTAATCATTCTTGGTGTACTTGGGTATGGCAGGTATGTCCTTTTCTTTTTATTTTCGATGTAACTAACCAAATCTGTTGTGAACATCTACAGGAGACTATATGGTTAAGTTTATGATTAGGACACACTACAATGTAATTCTAGATAAATAAAGACATCTATCATTATTATTTACCTTGCACGTTACCCTGCTTTGAAAGTTAGGCACAAAAACTGGAATCCTAATAGAAATTGTTAATCAATTAAGATTTTATTCTTCAGCCAGCTAGGTGTGAGGTGAGATACGCGTTTACTCCATTATAGCTACTGTTTACACATGACAATGATGGAATATCAGAGAATGTAGAGACATTGAGACCACTTTAGGGAAAGGATCCAGTTTAGGCCACTTTCCTCTATATTTTTATACGTTCTTTGGACACGGTAGTCAATTTATCATTCATCTCATTTTGTGGCGGATGTCCCATATCTTTATACATGCTTATATTAATGTATTCCTTTTTCCGAATTCGACTATTCAAACATTATTTTTAGCCAAATTTATAAAATTTATTGAAATGGAAACAATAAGGGTCCAAAAATTTTATTTATATTTTCAGCCGTTTCACCTTCGAGCAACTGCTACAGTGAGACCGTGAACACCCTGCGATTCGGCCAAAGGGCGAAACTGATCATAGCAAGACCGGTGATCGACGAAGATCCGAAAGAAAGAACGATTAGAGAACTCAGAGAAGAAATCAGAAGGTTAAGACTGTTGCTTGAAGGAGGAGGGGTACAGGTAAGATAATGACAAAATTATTGGCCTTAACAAATTTATGTATATCATACATTTGTTAACTGTTAACAAAATCATGTAAACATAGGATGTCCTCAAAGTTGGGACTTTTCAGAGACAACTTCGCTTGGAATAATGAAGCTAATGTACTGAGAAACAGTATCTAAAAAGTGAAAAAGATTCTCATCGCTCATTTGCAGAGAAATTTCAAGTACGGCTCTGTCACTTATGTATAGATACCGTTCAAGGTTATCTAGGTCTGCTACTGTGCCCACCTAGGATTTCCCACAGACGTCCTGTATCCCTAGCTTATTGCACAACGTAAACAGTCCACGCGGCCATGAAAAAGCGATCTGCATACATTTGCGAAGCCTCGGTAGCATTTTGAAGATACCGTAAATTAAAATCATATCGATAATTTCGATATTGCTGCGCCAGTGTTTCATCTTGGCTCTTGTAAAGCGGTTGCTTGATAAATTTCCTTGTTTAGCTACGCTAGGATTAGGTTTGGTTTAGGTTTGATTGATTGTGAAGCCTAATATTTCTGTTATCTTATGACTTTGGTGTATATACTACAACCTCATATTTCTTCGAGATCCATACACCATGTAATGCAAAGTCCCAACTTTTCGCATACCCTGTATACTGGTTAGCTTTTGAAAATCGATTCAGTAGCAGCGGAACTAGGACAAACACCCAAAAAAATAAAAATCTTTCAAACCTAGTTTTTTGACGTTTCAGACTCAGATTTAAAAAAAAAAATTGTACGGGTTGAAAATCGGGTATTGCGGTTGTAGGGGGTGGGGGAAGGTATATCTCATTTTGTTGACTACAATAGATTCATTCATTTCCAGTAATTTTACGTACGGATCAGTACATATTTCCCCGTACATTTGCCATTATAACTTGGAGAAATATACTAAGTGACATATAAATCCGCATTACAGTTTAAATGGTTTATTTTAATAAAATTTTGTATAAGTACTTAATGAAGCATAATAAGTAAATGATAAAAATTTCAAAATGATTGCACTGCTTTAAAGCCCTTTGACCTTTAATAATGTGTGGATGCACCCTGATGTGCTACGCATTCTCCAACACGCCTAGGCATGCTTCTGATCAGGTGGTCAATGTCCTCCTGTGGTATCTCATTCCAGGCAACCACCAACTCCTCTTGAAGTGCTTCTAGAGTCTGAGGAGGACGTTGCAAATTGAGCAATCTCCTACCCATCATATCCCACACGTGCTCAATTGGGGATAAGTCGGGAGATCTTGGTGGCCATGGTAACAATGTGACATCATTATGTTGAAAGAAGTCTATTGTGACTCTTGCAACATGTAGTCGGGCATTATCTTGTTGGAAAGTTGGATCTGCCAGGGTGTCAAGATAGGGTAAAAGATGGGGGTTGATGAAGATTAAAGGTGACCTGGAACCATAAGCTATAGCACCCCAAACCGTAACTCCAACAGTGTGATGAACATGTCTTTCAACAAAAAACTGTGGATTCCTCCTTTCACCACGTCGCCTTCTAACCCTGGCACGACCATCGTGCATGCCTAAACAAAATCGAGACTCGTCACTAAAGACAATACTGTTCCATTCCTGATCCCAGAGTGACCGTTGTCTGCACCACTCAAGGCGATTACGTCGGTGTTCTCGAGTTAAAGGGAGGACCCAGTGTGGCCGGTATGAAAACAAGCCAAAACTTCTCATTCGTCGGTAAACACTTCGCATGCCAATAGGTCTTCCGTGTTCTGCAAACCATTCATTTGCAATGGACCTGGTAGTGGAGAAACGGTCCCTTAAGGCCAATAATCTTAGGCGGCGATCTTCACGGTCTGTTGTTCTACGGCGGCGTCCAGTGCCCCTTGCTCTTTGCGTACGGCCTTCTCAAAGCCATGCCTGACAATACCTAACCACAGTGTCTACACTTCTTTGCACTCTAACTGCAATTGCCCGAAAAGAAAGTCCAGCTTCCCGAAGTCCCACTATACGGCCCATATCAAACTCACTAAGTTGACGAAATCGTACAGGTCTCCGTACTCTAGGCATCGTAACCGATCGTGAAGGATGTCAAGAACCAAAATCCGCCAACGTTGATTCTTTACTGCGGCTGAAATATTCATTTTTAGAGCGTTAGTGAACTGAAAAAAAGCAGTATAAAAACCGGAATGTCCAACTGATAAGGCTGACAATTTTTTCACTTGTTATTTACAGTAAGATAAATACATTCACCAACTTTTATTAAAATAAAACCATTTAAACTGGCTGTTCGGATTTATATGTCACTTAGTATATATATAGACGAGTCATGCGATCGGTCGGGACGATGCTATGCAACGGCGACTTCGCATACGCCGAAGACCGCCGTGCCTCTGACAGCATCGCCAGCAGGGAAGTCCTTAAAATACCATAGTATCTTGATATTAGTAGTATTAAAGCATTGTCAATATTTTACAAACTAAACTGAATGTTCCTTAGCTTATTACACATTCAGATTGAAGCTTCCAAAAGAAGAATATTGGTATGACATAATATAACGTTTTGATGATTAGATGTTGAGTTATGTACTCAACAAATTTGAAAATATATAGAACTTGGTTACCAATATCGATAACACTGGTCAACAAACAACTTTGTCGTGCCACACGGACTTTTTTGATATTTTTTACTTTAATTGGTGATTGTAAGAAAAAATAAACAGTTAAAAAAAATTTGCTAGACAAGGATTTTATTCTATTGAGTAATTTAAAATATTAAGAAAAAAAACAGATCTCGTAAATCAAAAGTTATTTTTTTTTATAAATGACTTAATAATCTAAGATTTTCTTGAATATTTAGCTTCTGGTTGGTCCCTTTTAATTGTCCAGCAGTAATCTGCTAACATATTTGGGCTCCATTTGCCCTGGTACCGCTTTTCCATATTAGAAATGTCCTGATGGAACCTCTCACCGTGCTCGTCGCTGACAGCCCCTAAATTGTCAGGAAAAAAATCCAGGTGCGAGTCTAAAAAATGGATCTTAAGTGACATGTTGCAACTCAATGCTTGATATGACAATAATAGCTCGCTAACCAAGTCTCTGTAGCTGTCACTCTTGTGGTTACCCAAAAAATTTGCAACAACATTTTTAAAAGCCTTCCATGCAGATGTTTCTAAATCGCTTAATTTTTCTTCAAACCTTGAATCTTTTATCAACTCCCTAATTTGAGGGCCAACAAAAATACCCTCTTTTATCTTTGCATCACTTATTTTAGGGAATTTTTCTTTTAGATACAAAAATCCACTCCCATTGCGATCCATTGCCTTCACAAAATTTTTTATTAATCCTAATTTGATATGCAATGGTGGTAGAAGCACATTATTTGGCTGTACAAGGGGTAAATACTTTACGTTTTTTTGCCCAGGAACTAACGATGCACGCGTAGGTCATGTTTTTTTTATATAGTGATTAGTTCTGTCTCGGCTATCCCATTCACATAAAAAGCAGCAAAACTTTGTATAACCCAGCTGAAGTCCAAGTAATAGTGCAACAACTTTAAGATCACCGCATATTTTGAAGGAATATGTACTGTAATTTATTTTTTCAAGTAAAAGTTTCATATTTTCATAGGTTTCTTTCATATTTGCAGCATGGGCCAGAGGTACAGACGGAAGCTTATTTCCATTATGCAATAGCACTGCTTTTAGACTTGCTTTCGAAGAATCAATGAATAAACGCGACTGAGAGAGATCAAAATCTATGTCCAACATTTTCATAATCTCATTTATGTTATTGCAAAACACCAAATCTCCATCCTGAGAAAAATACGTTCTGAAGTGTTGATCACGGTTTCGAAAATAGCTAACTTTTGTATTATGATGTAGCAAATTCCATTCTTTTAGACGTGATCCTAATAGTTCTGACTGCTTTTTTGACAAATTTAAATCTCGAACCAAATCATTTAGGTCTCCTTGAGTTATCAAATGTGGCTCGTTTATAATTCCTTTTAACTCAAAGTCATCGTCCTTCTCAACACATTCACCTGAAGTGGACGGTTGTGAATTGTTCTCAACAGACGTAGTTGCAACTGGTATTAGTTCTGGCAATTTTTTACAATGAGAGACTGGTCTTATAGCCGAAGATAAGTTAGGGTAAATAACTGTGTTTTTTTTTTGTAATTTATACCTTTTATGTCTGTGAAACGTGATCTCGCTGTTCAGTCCATATCATGGGTACAGCAAACGGCGTAGGTCGTGCACCTTTCTTCCAGTCAGTTAAATTTTTCACACACGTTATGCAACAGACATGAGGGGCCCAGGATTTGTCTTGATGGGCGACAGAAAAACCAAAACATTGGTGATAACACTCCAACACAAGATTCGTAAAATTTCGTCGTTGTTTTTTGAATGTTAGTTCTCCGCAGACATAACAAAAAGAGTTAGGATCATTATTACACTTCCTCGACATATTCACAGGGTTAATAAATCACAAAAAGTGTTCAAATTCAACAACAAATATTTTTATAAGGATTTACTTGTAAGCGTTTCTGTTAATTTACTGCCGTAGTACTAGTTATGAGTATTACCGTATCACAACAAATATGAGGCTAATAGACATATGACAGCTGTCATGTAATAATGGGGTAGACTGATGAAACAAAATTAGCTGTCAAAGTTCGTGTGGCAAAACCAGTGTTGACCAGTGTAATTATTAGTTATATCTAAACACTTCACGTCTCTACAAAAAGAGCTTCACTTATACTGCTGCCACTTGACACTTATACAATAATCTTACATTTGAATTTCAAAATTATTAACTGAATAATTTTTAAAAGAAGCTGACATATTTAGTTAGCTGAACATAATCCCTTCCTCACCGCTCTGTTACCCAATCTATTTGAATAATTTTAACATAAACTAGTCTCATACGATATCTCTATCCACTTTTACTATAAACATATGCCTATAGCAATAGATCGCTGATATATTTCTATATTCATTTTTGAGCCGTTTTATAAGGTGATTTCATATTTATTAAATATTAGGATGTACGGTTGAGTTGAAAAACACCATCATGATGTCACTTTACCGATTCTATTCTCAAAATTTAAGTGACTTATTTACGCCTATTGTTGTATGTGGGATGTATAATGTAAAAGAATTGCACATGTACAAAGCTTCTTCCACTTCTGGATGTTCAGCTTTTTTGAGTGTCTGTCACTTGCCTGGCCCGCAGTCAGTAGTTGACACAAAGTTCTTGATCTTCTGGTGGTTTCTTTTAATGTCATAAATTGTAGATCGGCCTACGCCATATTCACTTGCTAAACTACTGAATGTTTCATTGCGATTTAAGCAGTCTAAAATATCACATTTTTCTTTAATTGTCAATGTTTTGTACTTTCGCTTCTGAGTTTATGATGACATTACTAGGTACTATACTTAATACACAATGAATATATAGTAAACAATGAACGCACGCTAGGACGTACCGCTATCACAAGCAGTCAAATTCAAGCTAAGTAAAACAATGCTTACGCGTCGAGCACGATAGCGGTGGCGCGTACAAGTTGTAACCTGTTCAAACCTGCGTCATCTACATTAGCGAAGATTGTCAAATACGTATGTATGTAATACATATTAAAAGACATGTCGGATTACAGGGGGCACCGGATTAGACAGCGGCCGGATTATCGGGGGTCCACTGTAATCTAAAGCCATTTGTTATAGTAATACACAGGTGCTGAACTGTTTGATTCTTACTTTACATTTGTACATAATACGTTCTTGCATACCCTTTTGTAATTTCGATTTACTCTTCTTTCAGGTGTCACCAGAGCTACAGTGCATTAAGCCCATGAGCGAAACGCCCGTGGTTATCCCACTAGATCCATGTTCCAGTCCCCCAAACACTACAAACGAACCTTCAGCTCAAAATGTCTCTCCCCTAGAAGCAGTTCCGCAAATAACGAATCAGATCACGGCACCTGTTACGCAAACCGAGACCATAGTACCCTTAATAAATGTAAACAGTACTGTACAGCAAACCAAACCTACCCAACTTAAAAGGACTTACAGTGTAGACCACGCTGTTTGGACAATGGAGAAGAAAAAGGTATTCGGGTCAACTGATTCTCTGCCTTCCACCAGTACTATTTCTCAGAAGTCTTCATCGGAAAAGGATTCCGTATCAAGTGAGAGGTCTAAGAGCTATCTTCCTCCTACGCACGCAAGAAGAAGATCAGTGACTAAATCCATACCTAAAGATCTACCAAAAAGAGGGTCTTTTGAAGGCACAGAGAAACTGGAAAAAGCTGTCTCTACCGAGCAATTATCTACAAAGAAAGTAGAATCTAAAGTAGAGTCAATACGAAAGAAACAGTTCAAACCCAGATCTCAAATTGTTGCTGCCGTCACAAGTAGACTGTATAACAAAGTACAAAAGAAGGATGTCTCGACAGATACTTCCGATCTAGCAAAACAAAAGTTGCTGCTGATGCCTAAAGAGCTGACCATATGCTCTAACGCTAGGTTAAAGCTCAGAGAGCTTACCAAAAAGGCGCTAATAGCTCACAAAACCAAAACTACGGAGACTCAGACTGACAGACTGCCAGTTCAAAGGGTCAAAGAAATTTCCACGGATGTGAATGATCTTCCAGTGATAGCAGGCGAGAGAAAGCATGTAGGAGTTATGGCTGATATTGCTGAGACAAAGAACGCCTCTGTGGACTGCAATCTCAAACGATTCAATTCCGAATCAACGCTCGATAGCGTGTCGTTTACGAGAACTTGTGGCACACAATGTAGTGGCCAAGATAAAAGCACTGGTAGTAAGGGTGTGTCATTCACCAAATACCTGAGAGATGTTCAACCCAATTTACCTCATAACCCAATCTACGCCAATTCATTCAGTATTAACATATCTAACAACTACGTGAATGGGCATAAGTTGGACGAAGGCAGCTCTCATGATAGTTTGGAAGAAACATCTCAAAACACTGGTCTCCACACTCCTGATTTGCTCAGTAACCATAACTCAGCTGATCCAAATGCAAGAGATCCTATCATTCTATCTCATGGCACAATGGTTGAAGAAGATCATGGATTTGTATCTAATGAAACCTTCGAGTCACCTGACTACACCAGGTGGTGGTCCAAAGCAAACAGTACACCTATCCACAAAGTGAAAGAAAGAATTGAGACGGTGAATATATTAAAAACTCACGTTCCAGAAAATTTTGTATTTAACCCAGTCTTAGATGAATTTTGTATACCAATGCCAAAATTTCGTGCAATTAAGGCTATGCCTCAAGTTGTAATAGCTGACGAGAAGATGTGTGATGACTATGTAACAATGAGACAACCTCTTGTTCTCAAATCCATAGTAAGGAACGAGGAGGAAATGAAAGTGAAACCAGAAACTCCCGATTCACTAGAGTACCAAATGATCAATAAGAGAGTAAAGTTCCTTGAGAAGAACAGAGAAAAACAAAGAATGTTTAAAGCAATGTCTTCATTTCTGGAAAATGCCACTACCCTCATGTCTAATATAGAGAAAGTTACTGCCCCAATTTTGAACAATGAGTTCGGGATTGAGGTGACAGTTGATGACATCAAGGGTCTGAAATGCAATAAAAGACATCACAAAAAGAAGCATAAGTGCGATGAAAGCAGCCAAACAGACATATCTAAAAGAAGAGAATGTTGTAGTCAAACCTTCCCGCAATTTAGAAGCGATGTTTCGACGCAGTCAGATGTAGAGTACAGTATACCTATCAACAAGTACGAAGCGTTGTTGGAGGAATCGTTAAAGAAACTAGAGAACAAGATATCACGTATTGAATTGCCGAGGCGTCAGGTATATGAAGACTTCGATAATCTTTTCAATCCTGCAGAGATGGAGGGTAGTTCGGATGTGGAAGATTCTAGCCTAGAAGGAAATAATTTGACACATTCTGATTACGGTAGCTTGCCTAGAAGAAATCATAAACGGTGTAGAAGGCCTACTTGTAGTCCGAGCGAGTTTTTGAGACAGCTGACGAATATGAGGAAACAGATCGTCAAGTCGTCGAGGGAAGATTTGGAGATGAATAGTGGTTGTAGTCATTGAAATTTTATATACACACGGGGTAAAGTTATAGTTCAGACTATAAAAATAACAGTTTATTATACCAATTAGCCAGCAGATGAAAGATCTCAAAAAGAAGCTGTTGGGTGGATTTGCTGAACTTTGGTAGTTACCAGGCTTCAACGCACAAAGTGTTTATAGAACTTTAACATGGTATACAGGGTGTCACATATTGACTTCAGATCAATCAGATAAAATCAATATGACCTTAGTAAAAGTTTTCTAGGTTTCGAGTATTGCCACCTTTAAGTTTTTTCAATAATCTCTACTTTTTGCTCCTTTTTGCTTGTTATGGCTATAACAAACTTTTTACAAGCCTTTATTCATTTCATTGAATACTAGCACGGTATGCTAAAAAAACTAAATTATTATACAGGGTGTTTCAGAACTATGGGATCACACTTGTAGAGGTTATTCAGTGTAACAGTAGAAAATATTTGAGTATAGGGACCCATATCCGGAAAAGTGTCACTACGGCACTACGGCCCTAAGACGTTGAATTGCCTAAATAGGATTTAATGCATTTAATTTTTGGCTTTTGTACATGATATCATCACAACAATTGTTCAAAATGTCTTCCTCCAACCTGAATACACCGTTCCTGGGTTGACATGTAAAGTCTTTGGTTTACGAAACTCCAGTAGAAACAGAGCAAGACTTGGACGAATTCAGCAGCATTTGAAATCCTTCAAAACAAGTATAAAATTTTTAGTCCTGCCGCCGAAATCATGTGCGACGTTTTAATCGGTGTATTCACGTTGGAGGAAGACATTTTGAACAATTGTTCTGATGATATCATGTACAAAAGGCAAAAATTAAATGCATTAAATCCTATTTAGGCAATTCGCCTTTCTAAATTTTAACATGTCTCATGGCCGTAGTGCCGTAATGACACTTTTCCGGATATGGGTCCTGTAGTGTATGTGAATTCCTATTTACACTGTCTCAAGCATACAGGGTGACAGGTAAATAGGTGTAAAACATTTTAGGAGGTGATAGTACAGCCCCTTTGCTATCGAAATTAGTATATAATACCATACCCTATATTCAAAGGTTGAAAAGTTATTGAAGATTTAAGATTTTTTTAAAAACAATCCATATTTCAGAGTAAAAAAGTCGAGAGAGAAAAAAGTTGGCGATTAAACATTTGTTTTTTGTGGTTTTGGGTTATTATTTCAATAATTAACTATTATAAATTAAAAAAGATTCGAAAACAATACCAAACAACGTATTTATTTTCATTCAAAAATGTTTAACTAAGAAAAACAAATAACGTTTTACAGTAAGTAAGGTGTTTTACAAAAAAATCAGTATACAAAAAAACGTACAAACAATTTAAATAATATCCTTGTTCCATAAGGAATCTAAATTGGTATGATAATAGCACAAAACTGTGTGAAACTAAACATAATGTATTGTAATACAACAATTAGGAGTGTCTCCTATTTGCACAACTCTCTGATTGATAAGAAATGAAAATAATGTAACTGTAAGCTATGGGATAGTTATTATTTTAAACTACGGTTAAGTTACACGATTAGATTATTTACACAGTTGTAATCGTTCTACAGAATAATAAAAACTGACTAAAAGTTACTACAATTGGTAAGTAAAATACAATAATGAAATGAAGGTAAAATTCATTGCAATTGTTGTTTGAACTGACGCCCGCTGTTTCTTATGCAAGCCCGTAGTCTTTTTCTCATGTTGGTACGCGTGATGCGGCCAGTTAGTTGACCTCTGATAGTGTCAGCAGCAGCAATAATTCTTTCTTTCAACTGTGCAAGAGTGTCTATGGGCTCAGCTTACACCAGTGACTTCATGTGCCCCCATAAATAATAGTCACACGTTGTTAAATCAGGGCTCCTCGCTGGCCACGGTGTCGGTCCACCTCGGCCAATCCAGCGACAAGGATATTTCTCGTCCAGCCACTGTCTAACACCCAGACGGAAATGCGCGGGACAGCTTTCGTGTTGGTAGATCATCTGCATCCTGATATTCAGAGGCAGGTCTTCGAGGTACTCCCAGAGTTCGGATCTCAAAAAGTTTTCATAGGATTCGCCATTCAGGTTGTCAGGCAAAAAAACTGGCCCAATTAGATACGTATGAATGATTCCCATCCACACGTTTGCCGAAAATCTTCTTTGATGGGCTCTTGGTTTTGCCATGTGGGGATTTGCCTCTCGTGGGGCCCAATAATGTAAGTTGTGATAATTTGTTGTCCCCTCTCTGTCAAACTTAGACTCGTCGGTCCACAATATTTTAGTTAAATAGTCGTTTTCTTCTTGATCCCTATGAAGCATGTATCGACAAAAATCAATTCTTCTTGCGGGATCTCCTTCTTCTAATCCTTGAACCGGTGTGTAATGGAAAGGGTAAAGTCTCGCCGAAAGCAAAACGAACCAAACTTTCCACTGAGTTAAACCAAGCTGCTTTGCTACAACTCGTGTAGACGTCGTCGGGTGTCTGCCGTAGCATTCCAGTATTGCCTCTCGATCTTCGTCGTCAAACAACCGAGGTCTACCAGCATCATGACGTCTCTCATGAACCTGTCCACTTTCCTTGACGCGTTGGTACACAGAAGCAAATACTGGATGACTCGGTATTCGCCGATTCGGAAAACGGTTTTATTCTCGCCTGGCTTCAACGGAATTTCCACCACTTAAACCATAACAAAACAGAATATCAGCGTATTCTTCGTTACGGTAACTCGCCATTATTAAAACTGATCAAAAAAGTAAAAGTACGTCCTACCGCGTTAAAGGTTGATATTCTACTAACTAACCTAAGCGTTAGTTCCCTTTCCTTGATCCGTCAGCTGTGTCAATTCATAACACAGGCAGAGCTTGCTTCCGAGGAGCGACGACAGATTCCGAATACTTAAACCCGAATAACGGCACAGGGCACAAAAAATAACAAAAAGGGTCGAACCATGAAAGGCTCGGTTTACCTGTTCAGTACAATGAAATGCGCTTAGCGGTCCTTTCTAGCAAAGTAATATTGTTTTGTTAAATGGTTTACTTACTGATATGTTATTATACCATTTTAGAAGGAAGTTTTTGCAGTTATTTGTACATTTTCTTTATTATGATTTTTTTGAAAAAAAGACCTCTTAATGTGAAAGTTGAAAATATATATAAATGTTATTTAATTTATGAGAATTATGTATTTAAATAATAACCTGAAACCACCAAAAAAAGAATGTTTAATTACCAACTTTTTTTATCTCAACTATTTTACTCTGTAATCTGGGTTGTTTTTTAAAAAAAATTAAATCTTCCATAACTTTTTAACCTTTGAATATAGGGTATGGTATTATATACTAATTTTGATAGCAAAGGAGCTATACTATCACCTCCTAAAATGTTTTACACCTATTTACCTGTCACCCTGTATACGTACAAGGAAGCAGGGCGACGGCGCGGGAGTACCGTCAGGGAGAAGCGGTTCCGCGCCACTGCTCTGGCAGTCAGTCTTGGGCGCTGGTGCGGAATGTATGTATGTGTTGCTGAGCCGGTGAGAGTTACGTGTACGTTACTACAACAGATCCCTATACTCAAATGTTTTCTACTGTTACACTGAATAACCCCTACAAGTTTGATCACTTAGTTCTGAAACACCCTATATTACATTTGGTTTCAATGCGAAAACCTTTACTAAGGTCTGACTAATTATTGTGAAAAAAATGTACCCGACTGAATCAGTAAATGACATTAAAAACTAGCTATTTAATGCTCTTTTAAAAATAGTATAACATTTGTAGGTTCCTTTTACTAAAAACTGAATAATTCCAACTTTTATCATTGAAGTCGTAATGCTTGCGAAATACTACAAATAGAAAATATTAAGAGCAGCTGTCTTTCGTGTCCAAATTACAACTTTGTAGATGCTGTAGTAGCTTTTCGTTTTAGCAAATGTCTAAAACAGCTATCCATTATCCTTTTTTATTCATTGTTGTATCCATGCATCAAAATATTGAACGGTACATTAGGTTGTTTTTGTTTACTTTCCATTGATGTTTACAAAGAAAGAATTAGGAATCATTATTAACATCTTAAATTAACTAAATTAAATTAATATCCTGTAACGTAAATATTTCCTGAAATAAATGATTATTATTGTCATTATTGTTATTATTTTCACAAAAGATTTACAAAATGTCTACCACCGACCATTATACACAACCCGGATCTTCTTAAAAAGAATCCCTTTAAACTTCTCGGATATTTTGCTTGCTGCTTGACGGATTCGACGACGCATTTCATCGGCTAATCGAACAAGTTTTCCATAGACCTTGTTTTTTAAACATCCCCAGTAAAAAATCCAGAGGGTTCAGGTCTGTGGAGCGTGGGAGCCCCAAAATTGGTCCTAGCCAGCCAATCCATCTTCTAAGGAATGTTTAATCAAGATACCACCTTACTGCACTAGCATAGTGTACCCATCGTCCTGTAACCACATCCTTCTTCTTGTCTCAAAGAATTGGTAGATGTTGTTGCAAAAAATCTAAGTGAGGTTTTTCAGATTATTTACCGATTCAGTCATTTTTTTCACAGTAATTAGTCAGACTTTAGTAAAGGTTTTCATATTAAAACAAAATGTGATAAT